AGGCAATCAGTTAATTAAAGTTGGTTTATTAGGTATATACCAAATTATTTGTTGTAGGAAGGTAAATTTGAAAATACTTTATTTTCATGTAGTATCCATAAAATTTTCCCAAAGACAATTGTGGAATTGAAAGATCACAAGTGGATCATTGTGCGATTCAATAATTTTTTGAGGAAATTACATCCTCCACTTACACAAGCTGAAAATATTACATAATTACATCCCCTATATAATTATTTATAAATTAACTAAATTTGTTATATTTATTTGCATATATGCCTAAAAAACTGATTTCCTATTTACATGGTAACTTCCCATCAATTACTTCCCATCAATTAGTCTCTCTCCTCTTCCCCTCTCTTTCTATCTCTCTCTTAGACGCCCACGAGCAGGATGTAACTGCCATTCCATTTCTAATTCATTATTTACTCCACGAAATTTCCTCACCAATTGAAGAAAAAGAAAAAAATAAAATAAAAAGCCTTAAAACTTTAAATTTATTTTCAGATATTTTTTGTTTTCGGAAGTATATAATTTATACATGTTGAGCTAGAAACAACAAAAACGCCAAATCGTGGCTGCAACATTGAAATGAAAGGGAAATCAAATGATGAAAAATTCTTGTGAGTAAACAAATTGATTATGCGACTCTATAACAGCGAAGAAAATTGCATACTTTTATGGTATTAATCATTATATTTTTTATTTATAACATTTTTTGAAATGTAATATATTTTTAATAAAAATAAACATATTTAAAAAAAAACGTTAGTTTAATGGTTAGGCCCACTAGTAATAACAAATTATGAATAATTCTGTTTTCACATTAAATCGATATTTTATTCATTTAATAGATCCTGTTTCAGAATATGGACGGTCATAAACAACTCATGAATTTCATGAATTTCAGAAGGTAAATTTAGTTTTTTTTTTTTTCGGTATATTTTCATCCTTTTCATATTGTATCGTGTTTTGTATCGTCTCATGTTATATGTATCATTTATACTCAGTATATTTTCGGTATATGAGTTATTTATATTTAGTAAAATCATGGAAAATATATACAATACATATACCATCAGTATGGTTTGCATATATGATGGTATATGTTGCATATATGTTAGTATATATTCAGTAAATATTATGTTACTTTATCCATCAACATCCATTCAACCTCCAATCCTGTCAATTTTTTTTGTTTTTTTTTTTTGTGGTGTATTTGCGTAACTTTTCTTAAAAAATAGATCGATCGCGCCTCTATTGTTTTATGTTGTGCTGTGGTATATGTACAGTATATGATTTGCGATGATTGTCTTCTCAAAATCACAAAGCTCGAGGAGCGAACAACCGTTGATCCTCGTGTCGTCGGACGCCAGAAATCTGATCTTGGAGCTCGGTCCGACATTAATGGGGGGCGTGTACAAAAAAAAAAATTGGTGACTGCAACTGGTCGTTTCACCGGCCAAGCGAGGTGTGTATATGGAGTATATGTGGTGTGTATTTTGAGTATATATTCAATATATTAGAAGATTTTTTGTAAACTATTAAGTATATGTGTGTGTGTGTGTATATATTCAATATATGTTCACCATATTAGAAGATTTATATTGTATAGGAATATAAGTAACTATTATAATATATTTATATATACTTTTACGTACAAAAGTAAAAAAAAAAAGAATATATAATTTGTTGATGGAAGACATGTTTTTTTCATGCAACATATACTAAATATATACCAACATAAACGCTAAATATACCACTTGACGACGACTGCGTGAATTAAAGAATTAAATTAGTCAGTTATTATTTTTATTTATCTCCCCTCAATCAAACCCACAAAAAGGGGGATGAAGATTGAATGAATATGATAACTTAATTTAGGCATTAATGTAGTTATTTATTACATATTAGGTAGAGATGTAATTATTTATTTATAAATTGTATTTTTGCAAATTTTTCAAAATCTAGTAGGATAGATTAAAATTTCCCTAATTTTTTATCATCTATATGTAAATCATACAAAATGGTATCATAGGTATGTACTTACGCCTTGTTAGGTTGGGAGCGGATTGGGCTAGGTATGTACTTACGCCTTGTTAGGTTGGGAGCGGATTGGGCTGGGCCATGTAAACCGATAGCCAACATAAGTCTTCTTTTTGGCCCAAAACAATCTGCTGTCAACGATTAATTTTGTTCATTAATTTATCATAGAAACCATTGTTCAACCACAAACGAGCCCTAAAACAATTTCTCTTCGCTCTCTGAACATTCAATTTTGGGCGTGGGTTTGTGCAGAGAATTATGGCGGGAAAGCAAATTGCCGGTGACGGAGTCCCGCCGAGCCTCGCCGGCATGTCCAAGAACCAGTTGTACGATATCATGTCTCAGATGAAGGTTCAGTTATCGGTTCTAATTGTATTAAGCACAATCATGTAGTTATTCTATTTGTGAAATTCGATATGATATCGTTGTTGAAAGGCTGAAGCTTGAAGCTTTGAATTTGCGCGCAGACATTGATAGAGCAGAATAAGCAGCAGGCAAGGCAAGTTCTTATCCAGAATCCCGTTTTGACTAGAGCGCTTTTTCAGGTTTGGTTTCAATTAGGGTTGTCTTTTTTGATTTATTCACTGCCATTTTCAGATTGGAATTTTGGTATTCTTGCTGGTTGGAGATTTAGGAGCAACGGGTCTGGAAGAATTTGTATTTTCTTTCTTTCTTTCGAATTTTCTCGGTCGTTTGTATTTTATAGGGTTTATGGGTAGTTAAGTTCATGACCTATAGATGTACTAGTTGAATCAATGTTGTGATGAAGAATTTTAGATTAAGTCCAGCTGCAGTGAGATGGTTATTGAATTCTTAGATAGAACAATTAATTTCCGTAGAGTACACAGAAGAATGACAGAGTAATCTTGATTTACAGCAGTATAGACAGTGATGAACAGTAGTTGGTGGTTAGCTGCAAGTAGAGCTGTTAAACTAAACAAGCTGCACGTGAGCTCAGCTCGTTTATCTTGCTTTAAGCTCATTTAGTTAACGACGTTAAGGCTCAAAAATAGGAATTTTTATGTACTTTTCTGTAGCTTGGCTCATCAAGGCTAGAGCTCATTTATCAGCTTGTTTATCTCTGCTCGACTCGATAAGGGGTCGAGCCCGAGCTTGAGTATCAGAAGCTCGAGCTCGGCTCAGCTACACCCCTAGTTGCAAGCCACCTAAGCCTGTGTAGAGAATGTGGTATGCATTTTACTCTGGCTGGGTTCTCCATATATTTTTATTGTTGGACAGAGAATATGCTTAAATACAAGTGTTTATATTTGAGTATGTAAGGTTATTACAATTCAGATTCTTTGAGGAGGTAGACCAAGTTATATGTAGACGATGGTTCCAGCAGTGATTGTAGATTAATTTGATCTTTCTGTTTTGTGTTTCCTTTTGTTGAGAATGAGCTTGTACATGCTAAAATATATCTGAGTATGTTATGTTGATAAAGTCACCTGTTTCGTAACTCGTTCATCATTGATTAACTATTTGACTTCATTGTCCTGGGGAAAATAAATAGAAATTAGGAAAGAATTGTACTATCATCTATTGGTAAAGATTTGATAATATCAGAGCTTCGATGGATGGCCACATGGCCATGCATAACACATCTTGATTAACAGGAACCAAGATTTTCTTAAAATTTCATCACATACTCGGAATAACTGCAATTTCTTTATGATCAACAAGACTGTTAACCCGAGTACCTGTCAAAGTTAATATCGTGAATTTTTGCCTGACATTCCAACATTTTCAATTGGTTTGTGGTACTTGGTTTTTCATCTTTTCCCATACGAGTTTGGCTAATGCATGTTAGGTTTAAAAGGGATTGAGTGCTCATAAAATTCTGTTTATACTTGAGACATCAAAATAGTCTTTTACATTATGCAACATTAATTGTGCCTTCAAATTTCTGACTTATCTCATCCCACAATTTTCTGACTTATCTCATACCATCCTCTCTCATCAGGCACAAATTATGCTTGGAATGGTGCAGCCCCCACAAGCTGTACGTTCTTCGTTTGTTTTTTTCGACTAATTTATACCTTTCTTGCTTATCATTTCCTTCACAAATCTTTCTGATATTTTCGGCTTATTCTTTTCCAGTCTCCGGCAATTCAGTCAACAGCATCACAAATTCCAAACCCACAGCCACCACCGATATCTAATCAGAAGCCCACTATCCAGCCCCCATCATCCTTCCTGGGCCAAACAAGCCCGAACCATGTTAGGAACCAACTAGCAAACCAAATTCAAAGCCAAAACCCAAACCAAACTATGGTGCCCAGAAACCCTCATCCCCAACCTGCCCCGCCAAACCCTCAGTCCCAGCCCGCCCTCTCACGTCCGTTACAACCACAACAGCAACCTAAGGCCCATCTTGCAGCCCAATCCACACAAATGTCTATGCCACCAGGCCCACCGCAATCCTCTCAAGCTCTTAATATAACCCAGTTGCCCTCTCAACTTACTAATCTCACTCAATTGCCACAACATAGTGTATTTCAGCCATCTGTGCCTTCTCTGCCGCCACAGTCACAGCAGCAGCCTATGCAAAGTAGCGGCAATCCGTATTTGCCTTTACAGCAGCCATTACAGCCACCTCTGCCGCCACACATGAGAGGCCCAATGCCGGGCTTTCCTCATCAGGTTCATGGTCAAATGGGCCCGAATATGGGTTTTCAGCATCCGGGTGGCCCACCTATGCTTAACCCACAGCAGCATATGTTTCATGTATGCCAAACAATGTATTCTTTGTCTTTTTAGGGTGAAAA